AGAGAGAGAGAGAGAGAGAGAGAGAGAGAGAGAGAGAGAGAGAGAGAGAGAGAGAGAGAGAGAGAGAGAGGAATGAAAAAGAGAGGAAAGAAAAAGAGAGGAAAAGTAAAAATATTAATTTCATTGCGGTAAAGTTGGTAAACTGCATTTGTCTAAATTGTCTTAAGATGTCGGCAGACCTTGTAACAAGTTCAAGGAGCCCTTGAAGAACAACTCATTGTACACCTGTTGACGCCCTTTGTTTTTTTGAACAAAATTGACATGATATATAACTTTTGTCATTTTGTTGTCCATATCTATGTGCACAGGCATCAGTACCAGAGGTGGACGCTATAGATACGGACCTGGTTCAGAAACTGCTGGAGCACATTTGCAGCCCTGCGAACGTGGAGGAATTCGACAAGAAAGACGGCGCAATCCTTGTGTTCTTGCCTGGTTGGGAGGATATACTGAAGCTGAAGGAGCAATTGCAAAACCATCCCATGTTTGGCGACCCAGCTCAGTGTCAGATTCTGCCTTTGCACTCCATGGTACACACATAAGCATCTCATCTTTGCACCTCACCCGTACTTTTGTCTGCTCTTCTAGCATATGTATGGTGACCCATCCCCATGTTTGTCTGATTTCATTTGGCCTACAATCATTTGGTCTTCTGATCTGTGATTGCTTGGTTGATATCTCACCTCACCTCACCTCACCTCTGCTCTTCTAATGCTCGCTCCTCGCTCGGGGGTGAATGTCCAAACTCATGCAACGCACAGTGGCTGTGGTGTGTCCACTCACTACATGGCATACTTGTGCACCACCTGCACCTTGCGCCGCATGGCGAGCGTCGCACCACCTGGTCGTGTGCCGTACCAGGAGGAGCAATTTCTTCTTTTTTTTTTTTTTGCTGTTTTCGTTGGTACAGAAGAGTGTAGTAGCATAGATCCTGTTCAAATACAATCTTACCAGTCTTTCGTTGTGTCCCATTGGGCATGAGAAACAGCCTCAAATAGGTCCTTGGGACATCAGGCTTAACGGGTAGGTGGTGGCACCGCTCTCCCAACTTGTTTTCTGTTTTTTATTTCCATCCCTCAACAAAGTTTTCGAAGGGGGGCGCAGGTGACCACTGATCCAGGCCTGCGAGCCCCTTCTTTTTTTCTGGGTGCCTATTTCCGCCCCTTTACACCAATCTCCCAGCTCGGTATGAGATTCTGCCTTTGCACTGTGTGCTACACACATAAGCATCTCGTCTGAGATCCACCCCAGTCCTTTGTTTGCTCTTCTAATCCCCACCCCTCGCTTTTTGGTGCTAAATGTCCAAAGTCAGAAGCTTTGTGTTTTTGGCCTCTCACTTCATAGAAATGCGCGGTTGCAAATTGAGTGTTTGGCCAGTTCTTTTAGAATTAGAGGACTTCTCCTCAGGGCCATTTCCTTATGCGACACTGGGTAGACTGGAAGGGATTGCTGCGATGACTAACTACTGGAGACAGACCCTGAATAAGCCCAAGTCAGTCACAACATAAGGAGTCGACATAACGGATGCAATCTTCGACGGGCAACGAGCAGAGGAAGCAGGAGGAGATGTAGGGCAATGCAATGTTCCTCCCTGAACAAACAACATCTGTGATGGACTCTATCGGTGCTGTGTGCCGTGTAGTCGAGAGTGTAAGGAAAACCCTGTTGTTTTTCATCTCTTACCTCTCAGCAAGCACCGCCGCTCAAAATCTCTCTCTCTCTCTCTCTCTCTCTCTCTCTCTCTCTCTCTCTCTCTCTCTCTCTCTCTCTCTCTCT